TGAGGGCTGGAAGGGACCTCAGGAGGTCATCTAGTCCAACCCCCAGCTCAAAGCAGGACCAGCCCCAACTAGGTCATCCTAGCCACAGCTTTGTCTAGCCAGGTCCTAAAAACCTCCAAAAATGGAGAATCCACAACCTCTCTGACTAGCTTGTTTCAGTGCTTTACTACCCCCCTCATGAGAAAGTTCTTCCTGATATCTAACCTAAGCTTTGCTTGCTGCAACTTGAGACTGTTGTTCCTTGTTCTGTCATCTGCCGTCACTGAGAACAGTCTAGCTGTATCCTCTTTGTAACCAGCCTTCAGGAAGTCAAAGGCTATTATTAAATTCCCCCTCAGTCTTTCCTTCTCCAAACTAAATAAGCCCAGTTTCCTCAGCCTCCCCTCATAAGTCATGTTCTCCAGCCCCCTAACCATTTTCATTGCCCTCCATTGGACTCTTTCCAAGTTTGCCACATCCTTTTTGTAGTGGGGGAACCAAAAATGGACACACTACTCCAGGTGTGGCCACACCAGTGCCCAATAGAAAGGAATAACCACTTTCCTTGATCTACTGGCAACACTCCCACTAATGCAGCAGTGTGAGGACACACTGTTATCTCATATTTGACTTATTGTCCACTGTAACATCTAGGTCCTTTTCTGGGGAGCTGCTGTTTAGCCAATCAGTACCCAGCCTGTATGGGTGTATGATGGGATTGTTCTGTTCTAAGTGCAGGACTTGGCATTTGTTGAACCTTATTGAACTTTATGGCCATGTCCACATGAGTGTGGATGTTTGGTTCCCATGCCTTGTGTTGCCACTAGCTGTCCCCAGGGAATGCCTGTTCCATGCCTTTTGGCGCACAGCAGGTTACCCCAGGTGGGGTAGGGGAGGCTAGAGCCAGCACTGGGCTATCCCCAGCAACATTACTTGAGCTCCTGGGGGTCTCCTGGGGCTGCAGCAGTGGTGATCCTACTGCTTGGAGCCTGCCCAGCATCTGGAGTGTGGCTCCAGCTGGCCAGGCTCCAGTTTTGAATGACACATGCTGCCCACACATGCATCACTCCATTAAAAAAATAATTTTTTTGGTGTGTTTTTTTTGATGCCTGGATATCCAGGGGTCAAAAACCCCTCCCGCATTACTCCCTTGCAGTGTGGAGATTGAGATTTCTTTTGGTCCAATCCTCTAATTTACTGATATTTCTCTGAATCAGAGCCCTACCCTCCAGCTTGACACCAAGCTGTTCCACCCAGCTTGGTGTCATCCACAGTCTTACTGAGGTGGATGACTCCATCCCATCTTCCAGATCGTTGATGAAAATACTGAAAAAAACCGGCCCCAGGACTGACTCCTGGGACACTCCACTCAATACTGACTGCCAACTAGACATCAAGCCATTGAGCCTGACAATCCAATAAGTTTTATTAGAGCACATCCAGCCTTTTCTTACAGCAGAAATGCACCACAAGAACCATACAGATGTACAATAGGATATCCTGGGAAAAAGATGTGTTAATACATTTTACCTGGCCTACTTAGAGAGATTTGAAATGAAGAACAGTTTATATGTATGCCTGTGCCATCCAGGGGTCAAAGGGCTTTGTCTGAAGACGAAGGTGATGTCTGTTCATAACTATCTGTGGAATTTTTTAAAACATTCCAAAACAACCCAAAAAAACCCAAACCCTAATCTGCTCTTATTCCAAGGTTCAGGGAAAAGTCCACTGTTTTGCTTGTGTTATAAACATTCTTATAAATTGTTTCATTAAGAATCTAAGTACTGCCACTCCTTGGAGCAGAGATTTGAAATTAAGTTGGAAAGGAGGTACTCTGCTGCAAGGAATGTGTGTTTTGCCAGTTCAGTGGAAACCTGTCCAAACTGGGAAAAGTTAAGAGGGGTTGCAGTTCTCAGTGTGCACATGTTCAGCACAGGCTTGCTAGAGGTTGGCTTATAAATTCTCTGAAGACTCCATCTGTCCTGAGCATGCGTCTCCATCCTGGGGCTGCAGGGACTAATCAGGACTTCCACTACAATTAAGAACATAATTGCTCCTGCCACCTTTCTTGCAACACCGTGGAACTGTGTAAAGGAACTGAAACAAGAAGAATGGTCTGGTCTCTGCTCTCTGTGCTTTCCCACATGGGTACCTAGGCGATAAGGAGAAAGAGCAAGGGTACAGACAGAAGTGCGGCTCCCAGCTGTAACTCAGAATGATTTCTGCAAAGTGTTCTGAGTTAAGTTGCCCCAGTCCAAACAGGAGTTAATGGTTGCTTCCAGGGGGAGGGGAATCTAGCTGCTCCCTAGCTGATGCTGAAGGGTGGGGTGGGTGAATTGGAGCCCCCCCCCGGGGGAAGGGTCTGAGAAAACTCCAGACTGAACCCTCTCCACTCCTTTCCCCCACCCCCCCATTCTGAAAACAGCAACAGGCTGGGAGCTCTGCAGATACAAGTTACAAAAGATGCTACATTTTGAAACGTCTTTCATTATCTGATACATCATGGAATAAGGGGGTCCGATTTTCACCCAACTGGCCATTTTTGAAGCTTTTTGTAGCTGTGTATTTGTGTTTATTCATAGCTATAAACTGCTTTCTGTGGCAAGATTGGGCAAAAATTGTCACTTCTGTCTGAACCCTAAGTGGTATACCTGCAGTGTATAGGAGTGAGATTCATGGGTGCGAGGTGGAAAGGGGAAGTGCTGGGATCAGGCAGAAGATGGGGAGAAGCTATCTAGCTCTCAAATGATAGAGAATAGCAGGGCAATTTTGACTAACTATTATCAGGCTAGGTAAATAAATCAGGAACATTTTGCCGTAAATGAGAATTTGAATTCTACCCCTGATAAAGCAATTATATTTTACAGCAGCTCACTTTGTTTACTACTATTTATAATCCTCTTACTCAAGCTTTAGTAAAAAAAGTAGTAGAATCTTATTTAACACTTGTCTGAGATGAACAGCTGGATCCTTGATAGAAATCCAACCTCTCTTCACTACTCAGAAGGTGCAAAGAGACTGTAATTTGGTCACAGAAGTCTAGCAGAGAATTCCAGCATTAGAAAGGAATTCTTCCATGTTGCAACTTGATGTTCAAAGTCTGCCCAGTGTCTTACATGCTTGGTAGCAGCAGGTAGGGAGGGGATGTGGTAGATCACTTGTCTTCACTTACAGCTTAAAAGCAAGCAACTGAAAACACAAAGTGGGGAGAGGCTTCTGACAGCTGTAGGTGAGAACTGGCATGGAAAGGCTTGAGCCAGAAAGAAGAACTCAGGCCAGTAACTGGCAAGACTGGCTGAAGACAGGTTCATAATTTCCAGAGGTGGGATCTTTTCTTCGAGCAGAGAAAATCTCTCATCTTATTCTAAAATCAGGTAGAAAGAAAGTACAAAAGCTCAGGGATAAGAAAGCAGTTTCACCTTATCTGCATGACCAGATCAAATGCAACTACTGGGTAGGTGGAGAGAAAAGAAAGTACTCTTTCACTGAAGATCTTAGGCTTTCTTTTTCTATCAAGGGCCTATGATTAATTCTGGAGCAGTTGAAGCAGGGGAGGCAGTGCCTAGGACCAGCCGACACTGGATTATCTGCCATCTTTGGCTTCTCCACTAAATTGTAGGGTTTTTTTGGTTGTTTATTTTTGTGGCTATTTGCTTATCTAGTTTATTATCAGCTTCAGTAATTGGCTGTTCAAATGGTATCTGATCACTGAATCAGCACTTCAGACCTACCCTTAACTGAAAGGTGCATGACGCAGAGAAAGAAGCCTCATGAAAATCTAATCCTTGGAAAACTGTCATTTTTTAAAGTCAGAACTACGCACCCACAGTGAACTTTATTGTGGATGACTTAAAGGAAATCCTGTTGATAAAATTTAATTTGGCTCTTAGTCATTCTTCAGACATTAATCTTAACAATTAGAAGCTGAGGGTATGCATAACTTTGTATGCAGGCTTGTCAATTGACTGGACCCCCATTTTAATGGGGAAAAAAATCAACAAAAAGCAAAATAAAACCTGACAAATAGTTACATTTTTGAAAATTAAACTGGCCACTCCTGTTTCATAGCAAATAATTGTCAGCTAGGTTCAGATTTGATAAGTGCTGATATAAAATCTCTTGATTTTAGTGGACTTACATGTACTTAGACTGGGTCTGAATTTAGTTTAGTGCACATAGGAGAGTGGCCAGTATATGCAGCATAGAAACCATTCAGAGAAGCTAAAATGTTTTAGGGTGAGATTTATGAAGGAATATAAGGATGGGATACCTAACTCAAATTCATTGAGAGTTGAGTGCCTATCTCGCTTAGGTTGTTTTGAAAACCACAAACCTAAAAATGCAACATCTTAAACTTGCAATTATTAAATTCACTGTTTTGCTAAGTATCAAGACAGTGCATACATTGAGCTTGAATCTCCCTGTACCTAGCAAAATATTGGTCTGGCATGATATATAGAGTTTGTGGTGTATCTGTGAAAGGTGAATTTCACCTTATGAAAATACAGCAAGTAGTTTCTACACATATAATACCACCACAAACCATAATGTAAGTTCTCTTCCTGTTTAAGTTGACTTCAGTGGAATTGCACTTATTTTATAGGGCTGTGCAAAGTTTTGGTCCCTGATTTGATTTGGTGGAGATTCAGACTGACTTGGTGGCTGAATCTTTGAATCCTAATTGAATCAGGAGACCCTTTAATCTTTCCGAATTGAATTGGAACCCTCCGAATAGATCTGGAGAGATTCAGAAAGTTTTGGAGATTTGGTACATAGACACAGCTTTACATTTTTTTTTCTACATGCCTCAAGGTACCAAGTGGCTCGTGAATGCTGCGATGCTGGGGCACATGGAGTGTCCCACAGGAGTGCTGGGGGTCTCCCCAGAAAGCTTGGCAGCAGACCCAGAAGTGGACCAGAAATACTTCCAGTCCACTTCCGGGTCCACTGGGGAATGTGTGGGGGCCCCCCTGGCCCCCCTGGATCAGCAACTGGTGCCTCCTGGGTCTGGGGGTGCACCTGGGGTCCTCCTGTGGCTGACCACACAGGGGGGCTCTCTGCATGCTTCCTGTTGGACCCATAAGTGGACTGGAAGTACTTCCCCTCCCCCCTCCTGCAGGTTGCACCATCCACCCCAGCATTGCAGCGCTCATGCCGGTACCTCGAGGTATGTAGAAAAATATTTAAAGCTGTGTCTATGGTTGAATTGCTGATTCTCTGAATCTTTAGATTTGGATTTGGCCGAATCAAATTGGGGACAGTGATCCGAATCAATGAATCAAATCATAGCCCCTGATTCAGGCTGAATCTGAATCTGAATCAAATACGGCCTGCTTCGCATGCCCCTACTATTTTACATTAACAGAAAAAATTGATTTAATCATTGATTATCCTGCTTTGGTTGATATCAAATATTACAGGATGGTAAAACCCAGAAATATTTGTGCCAAAAAATTGCTACCCCTTTCCCACTAGAACTCAGACTTAAAATGTCTGATTCTCAGCATAGCTCTGTTGATTGTTGACTTCAGTTCAGTGACGCTGATTCAGACAAGCAAACAATCTGCTACCCAAGAGATAGTTGAGTATCAGAAAAGTGCCACATGTGTAATGGATTTTTCCTGAAGGGGAAATGTGAAACTCAGATCATTATTCTTACCTCTGGCACTATTCAGAGATGGAAGTAAGTGCCCAAGTTCAGACTTGGATTCTTATCTTCCCAGACCTCAGGAGTGATTAGTGCTGGCTACTTTTTCCTGTTACCTGTGACTACAGCTGGGCTTTACTTGTGGTTTACATGCTCTATATAGTCAGAAGGCAAAACTAAAATTATTTTGTGGAGTTTATAAATATAAATTGGTTTGCTGATATCTCCAACCCTGGGTCAAAGTGTAAATCTAGAAGAGGTGGAAAAGCTTGAGGTGGTAAGAGTCCAGTAAAAAGTATGGTGGGAAACCAGTGAACTGGGATAAGAGGACTCAGTGACCTAAAGCTGTGTACCTGGTCTTGAAATGTATGGTTATAGAAGAGAAAGAAAGATGGGAATATTCGAGTCATGTAGGTCAGGGGATGAAGAAGGGATGAAATGTAGCTATTACTATCACTTCTGTTTTATGTTGCAATAGTATCTGGGAGCCTGACTAATGGACAAGAGCCCCATTATGAAGGTATTGTAAAAACACAGGACAAAATGGCAACCGTTATGCCAATGATTTTACAGACAAATGGTGAGCTTATAAAACCGATTCAATGATAACAGATGAAAAGAGACATATGGAGGTATACATGGAAACAAAAAAACAAGAAGTCAGCTCAAAAAGAAATACAAAAGAACAGAGGCTTTGAAAACAGGTTATAGTGTAACTGTTCCCAAGAGTGTGCACAAAAAGGAACAAAGACCCATGAACAAAGCTGGAGCAAATTAGGTTTTTTTGTAACTGTTTGGAGAGAACTTTTTGCGAAATTCATTCAGCTCCATTGCAAATGGATGCATTTGCTAAATGAGCCTATCTGTTCTGACACCGTTCCCATTTTGGTCACTTGTCCTTTTTGATACATTCCATCCCTCAGAAATTACAAGCCTGGGACTCAAATGTCAATGCACGTAACCAGAGCCCATTCCAGCAGGTTAGCTGTGTTGTGTAAGAGCCTCATAAAAGGAGAAACTTAGTCATGAAATTGCATGCAAAAGGAGAATACCCTGAAGGAAGAAATTCTGCCCCCACTGGAAATTAGTATTTGGGATGTTGTTGTTAAGGTTTGGATGAGGTCAACAAAGGAAAGGAGCTGGATTTTAAACTACTTTCCCCTCAGGTTATTTGCATTCAATCAATCATCCAGTGCTAATACCTTGCTTTCTCATGGGGAATGCCACTCTGTATTGACAGAGATGAGTCAGATAAGATACACAAGAGGTAATGGAGATCTTTCTTCAGTAAATCAGATGTTCCTCATAAATCTGTCATCAGCACCATTTAGTCTTTGCTGTATCTGAGTGGCAGAGCAAGCCCCAGATCATCAGCTTCTGACAGTTCCTCTCTACTGATGTTAGCAGCTGCATTCAGGAACAGTGACCTGCCCTGACAGCAGTGATGACAAGGGTGTAATAAAAAGCCATCCACTTGAGTAATAGAATGGTAGGAATAAAACTGGTCTGTGCCTATGTGTCTCCACTCTGATTTGGGGACTGAGGAATGATTATGCTCATCCTGGGTCTTACTGAAAGAATAATGCAAGTGTTCTTCCTTTTTTTTGATAATTATTTTGAAAATGAAATTGCTTCACTTCTATTTGAAATGAATGAGGTATGAAATATATCTATATGTATACCTATATATATTGGGCAATATATAAATATATATATATATTTCATAGCTTTTATATTTATTTATTTATTTATTTATAAGAGCTTGGTTCTCAGGGGGTTTTTACCTAGCCCAACACAATGTTTTGAAAAGTCAATCACATTTCTTAAAGAACTGCTGTGCCTGGTTCTTAGAATCCAGGGGGATGGATCTGATAGGGCAACCTGAATAGAACAGAATTTAGAGTAGATAAGGAATGAGAAATGTGCAATTATTATTATGGTAGCAACCTATCAGTCCAATCTGAGACTGGAGCCCCGCTGTACTGAACATTGTGTATATGTGGAAAGACAGCCCCTGCTCCAAAGAGCTTACAGTCCTAATAGACAAGGCGTCTGGGGAACAAAGGTGATATGACCTGCCTTGCATCAAAGAGCATATCAACAGCAAACAAGGAAGGGAAACCAGTTTTCTAGAATCCCAGCTCAGGTTTCTATTGGTTCACGCTTCTCCTAATTCACTCTCCCCATTACATGTTACTCCCACTTTAGGTAAAAGGCAAAACTATTATGTTTGGGAATTTTTTGTGCTTTATTTCTGAATTTTAGTGATCCATACGTGCTTGAATAGGGCAGTCCAACTATTACCAGATTCTTGTTTCTCACAAATGCCTATGTCTAATCTGACACTATGGGTAGACATAAATTCTGCAGCACCACATTTCATTGACTAATTTTCAACTCAGCTCCACTTTCCAATGGCTTGTAGTCAGCATTTGGCTCCTTGCCAGCTGGAAATTTCGCACTAGATTTAAGTATTCCCTCCCACCCCTTAAACGTAGCATGCTGTTTTCTGGAGCTTAGCATAGAATTAAGCTCTTTAATAATCGCTGTAGCTGAAAGCTTATGCCTCAAAATCAGTGAATAGACTGAAAATATTTAGAGTATCCAGTGTGTTGCACATAGCAAACATGACTGACAAGAAGAATTATACTTGTGTTATGATTTTTGGAGTCCTTGACATCCATTGCTGAGGTTTTCAGCCATTGGGTTGAAGCCTATTTTCCTCTCCCTTAAGACCAGAGAGTTCTAACTGTAATTCACTGTGCGTGACTTGAGTTCAACACCTGCAGCTTTGCTGTCTCAGGAGCAATGACAATGTTAATCAATGACCAACCAGCCTTCACACTTCACCGTACTATTTATTTTAAGATAAAAGCCTTTAGGAGGAAATGGATCATAAAAAATAAATATTCTGCATGCATGCTAAGCTTATTGCCCATCAGCAAGATGGGATCTTGGTAGATACAGGCAGAGGTTCATACTCAATCTGTTCCATTTTGTGATTCCCTATTACAGACTTGTGTCAGTCCCATGGACTGAAAATGATCCCAACCCTGTATCTGGCTATAAACTCTATGTCCTTTGTCCTTTGTTTGCTAACCCTCCTCAGTCAGTACAAGTCGGGACATAAAATAGCCCCTTAGTCAGGTGGAGGAGGGTGGTGAACAGTCAACCTTCTTTAGACTTATTTACCTATCCTTTAATTTGCATTTATCACCCTCTAGTTTTTTCCCCAGAAACTTAAAGATACATAACCCTTATAGCTAGAAACATACCTAAATCACAGCAAGACAAAGAGTTTTTTTGGAGCTGCCCATGGCACACAGCCAATTTTGTGGGCATTTTGAAGTGGCCCCACCCCTCTGTGCTGATTGGTGGAGTGGCCCACCTCTCATCACTGATGGACAGAGAGGCCCCCTGGGGGGGGGGGCGGGAGGAATGAATGGATGGCTACCATTTTACTTGTTGGCTGCCCTTCGTGCCCCATGAACCTATCAGCACTGATTGGTGGAGAGGTCCTGATGGGGGGAGGAGGGATGGAGGGGGACACCATTTTGTCTGCTGCCCTTTGTGCTGCTTTGCCAGCTGGAGTCAACCCCTCCCAGCAGTGAGGACTGCTGGTTCCCACGGAGGAGCCAGCATTCTATTTTATTTTATTTTATTTTTGTTAATTTTGCAGATTTCACGGCATATCCCGGATTTTGTGGTTTCCATGATATCTGAGAAACTATGAATTAAGTAGGTCCCTACTTATAGCCCTGATAAAAGATTCAGAAGTGTTTGTTGTATGGGATTGGTTCTGTTCTCCTTACAAGGTGCCTAAGTGTGGCTTGTTCCACTCTGCTACAGTCCCTGAAAAAAATGTTCTGCAAATGGTGGATGGGTCCTTCTACTACTTGTTGCTTTTTGGGACTTTTTTAGACATGTTAACACGGTTTCAGGAAAGTGAGCAGGGTAGACAAGGATCACGTTTAGTCATCTAAATTCACTTTGCATGCATCTGTCACAAACACAGTTGCTAGAGTTTCAATCAAATCATATGTACTGTCATTTAAAAAAAAGTAGTAGGGCAATATAATGTTATCAGTTCACAGAAGCAGAGACCAACACCAGCTGTACAGATGAGCTATGGCCAATATTTCAACTCATAAGGTGCATGCTTGCCCACTTTTAATTACTTTTAATCACTTCCAACTTACACAGTATTCCCCATTCAGTCATACTGAACAGGCTGTGTGCATGTGATAAGGGTGATTATTTTTGTCAAGAAAGACATTTGCCTTAGAGTTCCACATTAATAATTTACCAGAAAGAGTCAGATTGGCAGCAGCCATTTTCATCCTGTTATCTAATGAAATAATTATCTTACCTGAGATCACATTTAAGTCCCAAACTTAAGGCTTGTGATATTCATGTTCATGCTCAGTAGTGCTGTACATCATGAGTAGTCCTACTGAAGCCACAGGCATTCCTTGTGCAGTTAGGGGTCATTCACTGTGATTTAAAGTTTCATGGGTCCATTCCTTAGCATGTAGGAATGTAATTTGCTTAGACCAAAAAAAGGACAAGTATCACAAACTGTTTCTCTCTTGTATAAGTCTAACCCTAGAAAGTAGGGCTGTCTTATTCTCTATTCTTTCAATATAAAAACACAGTAACTATATATATAAAAGAAAGACAACTTGTTAAAAACACTTAATAAAGATATGAGGAAAACAGAGGGTACACAGATAGAATCTACAAATAGTTTAGTCAAACATTTTAAATAAACACAGCCATTTCTAAGACCATCCATAACAGTATACAGCAGACTGCACAAACAAGAGAGCAGTGATGTAACTATGGATGAGGAAGTTGGGCACCAGCCCTGACAGTCAGCTTAGAGAGGCTGCAGATTTGCAACCCACCACTGTCATTGCCAAGGATATAATTTGTTTATTATGACTTTGATGGGAAGAAATTAATTGCAATTAGCTGAGGAAAACTTCAGCTGAAAAGTTTGATTTGCCTTCAAAAATAAGAGGGAAAGCAGAAAACCCCACTTTCTTTAAGAAAATAAAATGCAAAAGAAATATAAATCAGAATGCATGAAGCAAAAACGTGAAATTTAAGATTTTTAGATGGTGAGAAAAACAGGGGCTAAGTAAAATGCCTTATGAGAGACATTACTATCCTACATATTAAAATGAAGGAAAAATAAAATTTGAAAGTAAATGTAAGATGCATTTAAAATACAGTAAGTGAAAACTGGAAGTAAGTTTGTTCAATATTTCTCTATCCTAGCCTTCTAACTCCTCCCTACCCATTTACCTACAGGGTCATAAATATGCATAAATTATCATTCACTTCTTCAGTGCCAACTTCATCATAATATAGCAATACCTACTTAGCCAGCTAGCTAGCTATGGACCTATCTACCTACCTACCTATGTACATATGACATGTAGCTAAAGATATATATGCATGTGTGTCTGTGTGTGTGTGCATACACATTCTGAATGCTCTCTAGTGGCATTCCATTTGCAGTAAACTTAGTACAAGAAATGTCTGTTGGACATCATTACCCAGAATCCTCAGTTAGAAGTTGGCTGTCTGTGATAACAGACTAAAAAATAAAGTGTGGGAGAATATTAGCTGTGAACTTCAAATAATCCAGGTCAGATTTTGGACTACTCGTGTCAGTTTGAAATACATATGCTTCTGCTGAATTATTTGAAGTTATTTCTGATTTATGCTGATGAAATCAATGGTAAAAAAAAAAGATTTCCCCTCCCCTCCTAGTCAGTGTAACAAAAACAATCTTCTATCTAGTAGGGCTGTACAAAACTTCAGTCCCTGATTTGATTCAGCGGTGATTCAGACTGATTCGGTGGCCAAATCTCCAAATCTGAATCAAACCAGGAGACCCTTTAATCTCTCTGAATCGAATCAGAACCCTCTGAATCAATTTCGAGAGATTCGGAAAGATTCAGCAATTTGGACACAGACACAGCTTTACATGTTTTTTCTACATACCTCAAGATAGCAGGCAGCTCATGAATACTGTGATGGTGGAGCAGATGGAGCATCCCACAGGAGTGCAGGGGGCTCTGCAGCATGCTCAGCAGCAGACTCAGAAGTGGACCAGAAGCACTTCTGGTCCACTTCCGGTTCTGCTGGGAAGTGCACTGGGGGGCCCCCTGCACCCCTCCGGCTCAGCAACTGGTGCCTCCTAGGTCTGGGGGGGGCGCCTAACATTCCCCTGCAGCTGATCACTGAGGCAGGGGGGAATGGGGGCTCCCTGGTGGACCCAGAAGTGGACTGGAAGTACACCAAGCACGCAGGGGGTCCCCACCATGCTGCTGTGGGACACTCCATCTGCAGTGTTCACAAGCCTTGCGGTATGTAGACAAAACATTTAAAGCTGTGTCTATGGCCAAATTGCTGATTCTCTGAATCACCACTGAATCTTCAGATTCAGCTGAATTGAACTGAGGACAGTGATCCGAATAAAGAAATAAAATCACTGTCCCAAATCTGAATCGAATACAGCCCATTTTACACACCCCAACTAACTAGCATATGAATATAATCTCAATACTTTTCAGACTTAAGTGTCAGTCTCTTTGGTCAGTGGTTCTCAACCTTTTTAGACTCAAGTCACCCTGGTTGACTCAATGCATCCCTTAGAAAATACTAGTTCTTAGTTTTCACTTGTTTCACTACAAAACAAATATACAGCAATTTTTCTATTGCAAAGAACTCAGAAAAACTGCAACAGGTCAGAATTTTTTTAACATTATGGATTCCTTTTTGAAATCTAACGCTGTGTCCAGATGAGTATGGACAATTGTTTCCTTTAGAACAAGTAGCAGCACAACTTGTTACCCGGGATGGAGTATGGGAGGCTTCAGCAGCCTTACCTGTAGTCCTGGGGGTGAACTTTAGGTTTATCTTGACTATCATGCTTGCTCCTAACAGTGCTAACATTTTGTGGCACCATGTGGTAACCTTGAAGCCTTGAAACGACCACAGTACCATGGCATCCTGCTTCAGAATTACTGTCCTAGGTTGTTACCATCCTCCATGACAGTGAAGTATGCTGACTCAAAACCCTCATGAAGATGTGTGGCTTGACATCAGGCCAGCATGCTAAAGGTGATGATCTAGAGACCTCAGTGAGATCTGTATTGCCACAACATAAGCCAGAATTACCAAAGTAGAGATCTCAGAGACTAAAATTTGTACTTTGAAATCATCTCAGGGAGGTGAGAGCTAGCAATTGTTTTGCAATCTCTATAGGATTTTTCTAGAAGGATTCATACTTTTTAAAGCAGTAATCAGTGTGGCACTGAGCAACTGCTATAAGACATTCTTTTCATAAGGAAACTTAGTGATGTACAGTCCTGCTTAGTAACTGTGTTATACATCCTGTGCAATACATTCATGTAAGGAGTTTCTAATACAGCTGATAGTGAAATTTCCCTACTGAAAATTTTGATCAAACATTAACAAAATAGCATTTTAAATGGCTTTCTCTAATTCTCTTGGGGCTTTTGCTGAAAAATTGCCCCCCCCATCCCAAGTTTCTATTTAATCAAAAAGCCATTATTTATGAGAAAAAATGTTTTGAAAGATGTTTTGAACCAGCTTCATTTCTAAAATGATTTTTGAGGGGGGAAAAAGAAAAGTTATTTGTTTCCTGCTCTACCATTTGCTGTGTTTTTGTCACTGTCACTGTGCTGATGTTATTGTAAGAAGCCTCAGATTAAGCATCCAGGTGAAAGAGAAGTTTAGCATGTTGAAATGAGTGAGTGCAAATTTGGGCAACACCCTACCTCCACCTTAAGAAACACCCTGTAGAATTTGATAACAGCAAATTAAATGCACAAGCCCACACAGACATATATGCAGTTAATTTATTTATCTACGGACTTGAGCAAACATTAGCAGAAGAAACACCAGGTCCCTTCAGGTTGTTACCCACTGAGTTGATAACAGAGCAGAGTCCCACCTTCAGCTTGCATATGGAGCAAGTATGCCAGGCCAAGCCTAGTTTTCCTTATGGTTTAATCACATTTCTCTGTTTAAAGTAAAACTACCAGGCGAAAACCAAAAAAGACCCCAAACCCTCCCTCACCTATCTTTTCATCCTGGACTGACCTCTCTGTGCAATCAGGTATAACAACTGCTACTGGACACTGCTGTAGAGGTAATTTTAGATACATTTACACTGCACATTATGTACAGGACACTGAAGCTGTAGGAGGCTGTGACCTAGTAATGGATCACAATGCCTTTTGAAGAAACATTGTGATTGCAGGTCTAGGAGGCTAGAGTTCATCACACTCAGGGTTACCAACAAAACAAATGAG